AAAAATATTATTAAAAATAATATAAATTTTATAAAATGAATAAAAATTTTATAAAATAAAATAAAAATTTTAATACTAATTTTTATCATTTCCTGTAGTTCGAATTTTAGCCATTTTTGATCCTTTTACTTCAATAGTAGTATTTCCTATCATATCAAAAAATACTGATATTTCGTCCATATTTCCTATTTGATTCAGTTCATAATTGTATTCTCTTCTTTGTAAAATAATAAATTTATAGAAATCTATAATTTTTTAGTTGAGATTATTAGGTAGTTTCTGGTTTATTTTAGTTCTCCAGTGTAAAGCAAGGTTATATTGAAAAAGAAAATGACTAAACCACATGTCAGATGCTTTAAAGTCTTTTGTATCAATTTCTGAAAAATCTTCTCTTAATATTTTTTTCATTTGTTCTTTTATAACTGTTGATGTTACTCCAATTGCATTTTGTCGAAGTTCAATAATCCATTTCTTCAATTTTTCTTCAGCTTCAGGATATAAAGGTTTTTTTTTCTGCTCAACATGTTTGTTTTTCCCTGTGCTGATGCAAGTTCTTATTCTTTTTGATACCAACGTGAAATTTGACTATGATCGATATTATATTTTCGCGCCACATTTCTTATACCATTATTTTTTGCATACTGAATTATTGTTAATTTTTCTTGAGCAGTATATGAGCAACGTTGTTTTTTTGGCATAGTGAAAAGCAAGGATACGATTTTAAAATCTAGACAATTTTTATTGGCAAATTTTAGATCATGTAAATGTTAATCAAAAATTAAGAATATAAAAATTCTAACGAGAATAAGTACCAGGATACAAAATGGCTTGGTGTCTATATATATAAAAAGTAGTGCTTATTCATAGTAGGATACGGTACTTGTTATTTGGATATATTTATGTAAAGGATAATGACATTCATTCTCCTTTATACTTTTTCTTATATACCAAACCTAATATATTCTTTTTTTTTTCAAAATGAATTTTTTTATAATTTTTAATCTTTTATACCTTTTCTTAAATAATCTTTTTTAAAAACTAATGTACGTAGTATAATGAAAATAACAAAAATGTAAAATAGTTAAATTAAATCTTGTTCTATTATTTAAAAGAATGAGCAATTTAAATACTCTTTTTTCTATAAGTTTAAAATCTCTGGAAGTAGAGCCTCTGCAAGTAAATTCTCTGCAAGTACCTCCTACTTAATTTCACAGTCTTCTGGCTCCTCCTTTGATAGCAATAATTCAATTGCATCATTATTTCCTGTATCTACTATGCAAGCAATAAATGATGGTATAATTTTAATAATATTTGTATTTATTCAAAAAAATTTTGAATTGAAAAGCTACCTATTTTTATTAGCTTTATTACATCAAATTTTGATGAAATTAGAACTTTTACAACAAATAAATGAAGATAACCAAAAAAAATTATGTAAAATGGAAGAAGATATGAAATTAATAAAAGAAAAAATATCTGTGCTTTCATTTAATAAAGTATCCTGGATGTAAATAAATTTAAATTAATATAATATTTGTAGTCAATATATATTTCAGTAATATTTAAATAAAATTATTCGAATTTATTTATTATGCAAGTCATTATTAAAAAAGTTTCAAAATAACTTTCGGACCATAATATATATTTAATTTCTAATGATTATAAAAAACGGCAGAAGATGTTTTAAAAAAAATAAATAATAACTTTTTTTAAGTTTGGGTGATTAATGTGATGGATATTTAAATCTTATAATAGCTATTAAATTTACAGATGGATGAAAAAATACGAAGTTTACGTAGTAATTTAAGTACAAAAGTAAAAAATATCTATCTTTAAAATCTTTGATAAATTATTATCTATTAACAACAATACGACAGCAGTTGAAATTACCATATAGAAAAGTAACTCTATAGTATTAGAATGTTACAAGAAATTAAAAATATATCTGAAAAGCATATTATACGTATAATAAAAAACATATGGCTCAAAAAAGAACTAATTCCAGATTCTCATACTGCTTGGTACATGTTGATTGCTAAAATCCTTCTAAACTCCTATAATAATTATATCCAAATCACTGAAAATATTATTCAACCTTTTGTTGAAAAAAATATAGTAAGTAATTAAAATAATTAATATTAAAATAATATTCAAAAACCAATGAAAAATAAAAAATAAAATAAAATAATAACTCTGATGAGTCAGAAGAAATTTCTGAAAATTTCAAAAAAAAATATAAAAATCAAATGATTGACAAAAATCAAATGATTGGTAAAAATCAATTGAATAATAATACGGAACTTCCAACTCTTGGCGAAATGTGAGTAAAATTAGAAAAATAATAAATAAAAAAAGTAAGTAAAACAAACTGTAACTTTTCAAATAAAAGAAAATTCAACATAAATTTGCAAAATTAAATAAACAAAATAAATTATTAGTATGTTTTTTATCCAACAATTTTTTTTAGAATTAAATAAATCTTTATCTATCTAAAAATTTGTTAACAAAGAATTAAAAATAGAATTTTAGTATCATTTTTCTTTATATATCCTATGAATTTTTCAAATAATTTTCAAATATATCTGGATATTTGAGAATCGAAAAAATCTAATATGCAAATATATTCATATAAATTTGTGAATTTATTCAAATTTTTTCTAAACCAAAAAATATCTGGATATATTTGCTCCCAAAAATTTCCTGATAGGTGAATATATCTGAATATATTTGAGAATTGAAAAAATCTAATATGCAAATATATTCATATAAATTTGTGAATTTATCTGAATTTTTTCTAAACCAAAAAATATCTAGATATATTTGTTCTAGATATTTGAGAATCGAAAAAATCTGAATATATGCAAATATATTCACATAAATTTGTGAATTTATTTGGATTTTTTCTAAACCTCATAATATTCAAATATATTTGTTCCCAAAAATTTCCTGATGCATAACTTTCAGAATATTGACAATATCCTTAATTGTTTTTAGGTATGAGGTGATTAAGCTTGATTTATCCATACTAACAACTACTTCACTAGAGATTTTGCACTTGACTCTAATCAGAGATATAAGCACTTAAAATTTAGTTAGAGGTTTTGCACTTAATGGCATCCAATAATTTCTACTTTTAATTTAATATTTTTTGACAGTGGTGACAGAGCGAATCCTGAAGACTTGTTAGTTTCAACAATTTTGACATTTATTATCAATTCTTTTTCATTTCAATTTGACAGAATTTTCTTCATCCAATTTATTACAATATCTTTTCAAGTTCGTCATCATCTTTAGTGTCAATATCTTCCATTAATCACCTTTTAATTTCATCAACTTTGAATATTATCTCTAATTATTCAGGTTAATTATTATTTCAAGTCCAGGGTTTATAATAATAGTTTATTATTAATTTTATTAACTCAAGAATAATAATATTATACAATTATACAGCCAAGTATTTAATTCCATAATATTCATTATTTATATTTTATCATTTTATATAATTTTTATTTAATATTTTCAATATTTATTATTTTATTAATTCAATTGTCAATGTTACTATATCTTTTTACCCTCTTCGTTGTCATCATATTTTTATAAGTTCTTGATATTGGTTTTGAAGAAGTAATCTACAATATAATTAAAAATTAATTACATAAATTAAAATAATAATAATTACACAAATTAAAATAATTTTAATTAACTGAAAAAACAAATAAAATTAAGATTTTTATATATAAAAATTTTACTTTGCAGTATTTATGCTGGCGCACTATCAGTAACAATTGCTAAGATAATTAAATTTAATTCTCTAATATTTGTAATCATTTTTTCTGTTTTTGCAATAACATCATCAGTTTTGTAATGTTCACCACTTACATCCATTGCTTTCCAAACATAAGGTTGACCATCAGAAGACATAATAATTGTTCCCATTAATTCTTGCTCACGTACATTAATCCAACCATCAAAGGGTAATGTAATTCCAATTCTATCTAATTTCAATTTCTCAATTATTGTATTATTAAGATCTGTAACAACTTCATGTAAAATTTTATCTGATAATGTTTTTCTATTAGGTAATTTAACCAGTGGATTCAAAAACTTAAAAAGTTCA